TTTAATTTGAATTTCTCCGATTTTTGCTCATTAAAAAGATGCACACTCAGCGCACACGATCCGTACATGGGCTCTATTCAAGTGGAGCTTCCTCCCCCCCACTCCCTCTTTCTCTCTCTCTCTCTCTCTCAATCGAATTTCCCCCACGAAAAGCTAGCTGCCAAAGAGACGACAATATCTAGCTGCCTAATCGAGTCTCGGCCTTGAAACGCGCTGTGGATAGGTGTAGAACGTACTAGCCAACTTTCCTTTGTCCCTCACCTTCTGCGAAAGACGCCTAAAAAGTGGCTAATTTGAAGCCGGGAGATGCGGGCGGAGACTAGAACGGATGCACAGGGCTGAGAGCTGCCGAAGCCCTCCTCAGCCTATAAAAGCCGGGATGGTGCTCGAATCGACACTTGAGGCATCATGTACCGAGTCGGGCTCCTTGCAACCCTACTCCTCTCCGCCAACTGGTAAGTGCCTTTAAAAGTACTTAAATATTTTTCTAAGCCCTAAAACCTCCTTGAGAATACCTTTTACTGAAAACAAGAGTTTTCTATTCTTTCAGTCAGAATTTACTGAGTTTTAATTTTTATAGGAAAAGATTTTAATTCTGGATTTAAAATTTGCAACTCAACTTTTGATATGGATTTCTAACAATAATATGCTAAAATCGGCCGGAATTCCAAATTTTAACAATCTCTAATTTGTTCCATGGCTAAGATTAAAGTACAGTTACTGTAGGAACTTAAAAATGATGAATTTCCGGTTATTTAACAATGTTTAATTTGCTTTTTTAGCCAATACGCCCAACAGGGCGGCGGTGGCTACAGCGGCGGCGGCGGCTTCGGCGGAGGCGGCGGCGGAGGCGGATATGCAGGAGGTAAGTAGTTCTCTCTTTCCCTCGCTCTATCTCGCTTTGCTCTCACTCTCCCTCACTCACTCTCTCTCACTCTCTCTCTGACTCTCTCTCTCTCTCTCTCTCTCTCTTTCTCTTCATATCGTATTCTTTTTAATTCATGATCTCTTTCAGCCGGCGGTGCCGTAGGAGGCTACAGCGGCGGCGGTGGCGGCTACAGCGGCGGCGGTGGCGGCGGAGGTGGATACGCTCAAGGTAAGTTACATACCCTAAAGGGAGAGAAACACCTCAATATTCCTGCTGCCATAACCCCAAAAAAAAAACAAAAAAAAACTCCTTGAATACGATGCCACTTCAGGCGGAGGTGGCGGCTACAGCGGCGGCGGCGGTGGCGGCGGAGGTGGATACGCTCAAGGTAAGTTAGCAGATTTCTAAAGTAGAGATCAACCAAAATATTCTGAGCTCAACCTTCCTTTTGCGCTAAAACTAATGAAATCCTTGAGAAGGTCGCCATTTCAGGTGGAGCCATCGGAGGCGGAAGCTACGGCGGCGGTGCCGGAGGCGGCTACAGCGGCGGCGGCGGCGGCGGAGGTTATGCTCAGGCTGCTCCTCCCCCTCCTCCTCCTCCCCCACCCCCACCACCACCCAGCTACTCCCCACCGGCCCCTCAATATGCCCCTCAGGTAGGTGGAGTGACTTCAATGGTCCTCTAAAATCGGCCTATTTAAATTTGAGGAACATGAATCGGATAAACTCATGCTCCCTCTATTTCAGGCTCCTCCCCCACCACCACCCCAGCAGAGCTACGCTCCTCAGGCTCCTCAGCAGCAGTCCTTTGCTCCCCCCGGCTCCTCAGCAGAGCTACGCTCCCCAGGCCCCTCCCCAGCAGAGCTACTCTCCTCCTGCTCCCCAGGTGAGATTGAGATCCTTTCAGGGTATATTAATTAAGTACGATAGCGTACAAGTTACAGTAACCACCGATCAACTGTAAGATCGTTTTAGAGTTAGCATGATGATTTCAAAACTCAAATATAATGACCTTATTCTATAGTTTGAGGCCCCACCACCGGCGCCGGTCCAGAGCTACCAAGCTGCTGCTCCTCCCGCGCCTGCTCCTCCTCCCCCTCCCCCTCCCCCGCCACCACCACCCCCGGCCCCCGTCTACTCGCCACCCGCACCGGTAAGATTTTTGGGTTAGAGAGTGGGAGAAAGAGACAGAGAGAGAAAAAGAGAGAGAGAGAGAGAAACCGAGAGAGGGAGGTATAAAGCGATACAGAGATAGTGAGAGCGAGCATGACCTTAAGTCCGATACCTTATTAAACCAGCATTTCCAGGCCCCGGCTCCTCCTCCTCCCCCTCCCCCACCCCCGCCACCACCACCGGCCCCCGTCTACTCGCCACCCGCACCGGTGAGTTCTATCAAAAACATACAAGCAGAGCTCGCCAAATGGCGTTTGCTAGTTAGCCAGGCTCAGTGTATCACCTCGTACCTAAAAACGTCGGATACGGGGGCGAAATTGCCTCCACAGGTCCTTTAAAATGAGCCCAGTCTCTCGGGTAGCTCTAAATTCGATTTGTCGGGGCAAAAAATATCTGAAAACCATAGAAAACGGTGTCGAACTTGCCTTCATGGTTCCTCTAAAACGCACTACTACGGTGGAGTAGCTAATTGAGCACGAGCAAAAGCTTGAGCAACGATTTGCGGCGTGATTTGGTCTAGCGGAAGCGCTTACACGATATAAAACATGAAAACTCAAATTCAAAAGATTTAAACTGTTCCACCCCTATAAATCCGAATCCGGAGGATCATGCTCATATTTCAGGCCCCGGCTCCTCCTCCCCCTCCCCCACCACCACCTGCCCCGGCCCCACCGGCCCCTCAGCAGAACTCGTACGGAGATGAGCCCGAGGCCCCTGCCGCCCCCGCGCCGGCCCCTTCATCCGGAGGATACCGCCACCGCAAGGTGTTCCACCACAAGAAGGTCTTCCGCCACCGCAAGGTCGCCCGCAAGGTCGCCCGTCTTGCCAGGCACTGAGCGAAAGCTCCCCGTTCAACTATGGGTCCGCCACATGGCGGGTGTGTACATTCATTGCCTCCACACACCACAACTCACCTCGAAAACGTGTACGCGTCGTCCCCTCGGGGCTGATAAAGTCTTTCGACTAATTTTGGTATTACGCATTACATCTGCAATACTGCATATCAAGATACAAAGCCAGTGGGCGTGAGACAGATAGGATGAGAGCCAGAGAGTGAGAGAGAGCCAGCGAAAGAGAGAGAGCGCGATCGCTATAGAGTGAGCGTTGGAGAGAGAACTCCGTTTCTAAAGGAATGGTAACAGCGGAGATCGCCTGAGAATTTTGAAAAGACGATCCAAAACTGACGGTTACCTTACTTTAAAGGTTTGATAGAGCGAATCAGAAAGACCGATAGAGAGAAAGCGAGATAGATGAAAAAGTAACGAAAAAAGACATGTATTATTGGGTTGAAAGATATTCCAAAACCGCCAAAGAATACATGATTTATCTTATGAGGTATCCGAAACCTCTAAATAATTTAACTTAGCTAAAACCATATTAACTCGTCCTCAAAGAAATATTCCCGAGCCAAAAACCCAAAAAGCAAAAGGATTCCAGCCAACCGGATTCGAACCAGTGACCTAAGGATAGCTGCCAACTCTACAGTCCTCCGCTCTACCAACTGAGCTATGGCTGGGTGGTGATGCATGGAGGGAGGGGGCATTATGAAGGTATGCATAACGTATAGATGCCGTCTTTGCTCCCTCTTATAACTCCCGCTCCCCTTCTTGATCCTCACCCAGCCATAGCTCAGTTGGTAGAGGGGAGGGGAGGACTGTAGAGTTGGCAGCTATCCTTACAAGGGAAGTGCACGATCAGCCCACGAGAAATCGACACGAGACATAGTGGATCTGATAGAATCGGCTACGGGGATTCCGAATCTGTAATCAGAATCTGCTAAATAAAACGGAGAAAAAGTTATGAAGCTTCGAAGTTGGTAAAATCGCCCAAAATCGGACTTTTATGGGCCTGTAAAGGCCCGGGGAATGGAATTGAAGAGAAAAGAATTAGTGCATCTTGTTCAGCAGAAAAAGCGCTTTCGAATAAGCTGTAATACGTACCATTTGCACACAATTCACTGTAAAAAGTTTTTTTGGATTCACGGGCAAGGGTATGGCCTGTCAAGTTCATAGAAGTGATTTCTGCGAAATCATCGTAAACTTGAAGTAAGATAGCTCATTCGAAAGCGGTCGGCCGGGCCTTTACCGCCCCATAAAAGTCCGATTTTGGGTGATTTTACCAACTTTGAAGCTTCATAACTTTTTTCTCCGTTTTATTTAGCAGATTCTGATTACAGATTCGGAATCCCCGTGTTTGACTCTATCAAATCCACTATCTCTCGTTTCGATTTCCCGTGGGCCGGTCATGCACTTCCCTTGTTAGGTCACTGGTTCGAATCCGGTTGGCTGGAATCTTTTTGCTTTTTGTTTGAAATGATCTGGATAAACAAGAGCAGCCTGGATTTTCTATTTTTTTGTCTATTTTTAGTCATGGAATTGGTGAATTCCTCCGTTAAAGGGTTCGAAGACTTATATAAAAGAACGAGGAAAATTTATTCGTCCAAAAAATCATTTAAAAGGGATAAATTAGACTTGTGGCAGGAGTTTCAGGTAGCGATCCCTAAAAAGGTCGTTTCGATAACAACTTCCGTTAATTTTTGAGTACCTCAAAGTATAAGCCGCTTGTTTGGCTTGACGAGTTCGCGTAAAAATTCCTTTGTGGTTCCCGACAGCGCGTAGCGCGGCTGAATTACTTTGATTTTAAGTAACCGTTAAAGAAACGAACCTGGTGCCGTCATAAAATCGGCAAAGTTCCAAATCATCTCTCCCGTCAGAATCTTGGCCTTCCGTAGATGATCAAGCGCCTTGTGCGTTTCGCGGATCAGCTCATTTTGGTATTGTTCGGAGAAGTCGACGGCTGGTTGCTAAATATTAAATGTTAATGCTGATTATTGTCAATATTAAATTATCAGGATTTTTATTTTGGGATCCTGGATTTTTGAACTTTCTAAATTAGCAATTTTTTCAGGCTGTTTAGCTTTAATGTCATTTTTCTCACCTGATTCAGCCCCACGATACTATCAGCTCCATATTCCGTCATAATCATGGCCTTCTTGAACTTCTCGTACCACATCGTGTAGTCGAAAACGACCGATCTGGAAGTCACCGTAAATTTGCATTTCGTATGAAGTATCGCAGCGTAACTGTAGGTATCCAGTCGTTAATAGGTGTAATGAGGGTCACTTCGTGGGGGTGTTGAACTCGAAACTTACTGATTAACCGTCTCCAGATACCCCATATCGTCATACCAGCCCCAGTAGCGATTCAGGCATACCACGTCGATGAGATCGGCCTAAATTCGTAGCGTAGGAAAATATGATTCTAATTTTTCCGTTAGTTCACTCTCTATTTTCCGCTATGTATAATTTACCGTTTGATCATCTTCCCAGTGTGAAGGTCCGTAAACAATCGTGACAGGGCGGGTTTGGTCCAAGTCGTGGGCCAGATCGACAAGTGTTCTAAAGTTGAATTTTTACTTTTTAAAATTCAATAAATTTGGATAAACTTTTGAGTACGATCTCTTCTACAATAAAAAGACAAAATTCGACGAAAAACTTATTCTAGAAACGCACTTGAAGTAATTCCTCGACTCCTTCCGCTCGGTGTGGGGCTCGTTGGACAAACTCCACATGATCACCTAAATTACACATTTATAGTGAACATTAAGATACATTTATTCGTCGTTTTTATAGGAGTGCTGTGCGCAGCTAATAGCATTGATTAATACAAAAGGGTATATTTTTTTTCCTTTAGCTTACAGATGGATGATTCTTGTCCCTCATGATCATCTCGGTCACGATCTGCTTGTGCAGTTTTAGATTGTGGTCAGTGAAGACTCTTAAAAATTGTATTTTTACGAATTGCTGCCATTAATAGTACGGTTCGCTTTAATACAAACTTCAACCCGACAGCCGGCGTCTCCAAAATCACAGCGATTCCGCGACGATCCGATTCCCTGATCCTTTCCTGTGCGTAGGGGTAGTGCGAGGTACGGTAGCAGTTGGCTAGAGAAAAATGAAAAAGAGGATTGCGAGTTCTACCTCCAACCCATTCGAAAAGATTCAAATCCTTTGTCATCACCGCCCCGTCGTAGCCGCGACCGTGGATCTAATTTTTAGTAAACTTTCCAATGCGTCATTTGGAGTTTTACGTAAGTTTTTGAGTGTAGGCATTAGCAATACTAGAAAAACGAAATTCTAAAAATACCTCGGAATCTTCGTGCATTCCAAACCCAATACAGTAGAACGGCTTGTTGTTGATGTACATCTAAAAATTCTTGGTTCGTTTATCGAGACTTACATTATTTTTAAGATACAAAATAATAACACTTTTATATGTATCCAGAACCGATAAGTAAATGGTTTTTAGCGGTTTTTCGTTCGATTTCATGATTACCTGATGATTGTCGTAAGTAACGGAGCGGAACCCGAATTCCTCGTCGTATTGATCAACGATTTGTCCATCTGGCGACGAGATTTCCACCTAAAATCATATTTGTTAAAGTTTTTTGGGAAAAATAGCTTACTCGGAATGTATACAAATTCGCATAACCCATTCCTCTCGGCCACCACATCTTCGGGTTCTTAACCTGGCCACTACCGGTCAGTCCAGCGGCTTAAAAAAAATGGTTCCTGTACTTTGTATATTAACGCCATCTATTTGAAGATCAATAGATAACTATTTAATAAGTTTACTTGTCTAACCAGTGAATATACCTTTCATAACCTCATTTCCATCGGCATCCAAAACACGAACTTTCGCAGCGCATCCACTGCTGCAGCCGTCGAGCACGATTTTCCAGAAAATGGCTCCTGAATTCCCTCTTGCTACTTTGGGCACACTATTTTTGTAGTCTTAACTTTTAAACAATCTCTGAATTTAAGGTATTACTTTGAACTATCATGAAAATTCTTACTTGGATCGCCCGTTTCATTTTTGGTCATGTCAAGGAACTGAGGTCACGGTATGAAAATTTTTGGCCACGTGTGCGTGTCTTTAGACTAGAATATTTTAAAAAAAACGCAGAACTACTTTTTACGCAACTATGCACAACTTTCTGCACTAAAAGTGGTTTTTACTTTTGTTCATTTGCCGACCATTTGCACTTTGCGAAGCATAACTAGGGCTTCCAGCCACCCTTTTCTAACCAATTCCACCCTTCAAATTTCTCACCAACATGATCCGACACCACCCGAATGTCATCGATATGAATCTTGGGCTTCTTCTCCAGATACACCGTCCTGAGCAACCCGGCGTAGTTAAAAAAGTCGAACTGCACCGTCATCTCGAAGAACCCGGGCGCGTACTGGGTCATTGACTAAAAAGAAATAAGTGGAGTTAATTTGCAAAATTGGAGGTACCTGATTCCCCCAAAAGCCATCTCCTTCCTCGCCTTGTACTGGAATTCGGCTTCCGGAATTGTCGAGTACGATAGCGTGTTGTTGACGGCCACCGTAACCCTGTTGTCGGCGCCGAATTTGACCTATAGGCATGGAAAATAGAGCTTGAAAATTTAAATGTGATTTACATGCTCAGTGACCTCGAAGGAAAATGGTAGATGCCCACCCTCGTGCTCGCCGATCAGCTTGCTGTTGAAGTACTAAAAGAACGAATATTTGAAGGGACTAGAAAGCCGAATATTTATATAATCTTAAGACGATTGAGAAAAATCTATAGTAAACCTTAAAAATTAAGTACGATCATCTAAAGCCTTGCAAAATAGCATCCGGCCTTCTATTTGCCGATAATTGGATGAACTGTTTTCATCGCTATTTTGAATGCAAAATCGGATAAATTGAAAGCATTATGGTATGGAATTCGCTTACCACTACAGCGTAGTACTGCGCCGATTCGAAGGTCAGGAAGATGCGCAGATCCTTGTCGCGCTAAAAATTGTGCGTTTTTCGTTATGAAATATACAGATAGATCCATATTTACATCCGTTATTATTTATTTTTTATAACCTACATCCGGAATAAACTCGTTCTTCTGGTACCACACCCAGCCGACGTGGTCCCGCAGCGACGCCTCGGCGCCCATATCGTTGTAGGCGACGGGAACGGGCATTACGGTGGAATTCTAAAGCATGTTGAGACCGAGTTCCATTCGCTATGCCGAATTTTGCTATGCCGATTGACGCTGTGCCGAATTTCACTATGCCGAATTTTCAATATGCCGAATTTTCACCATGCCGAATTTTCACTATGCCGAATTTCGCTATGCCGAATTTTTGGTATACCGAATATTCACCATGCCGATTTTCACGATACCCAATTTTCACCATGCCGAATCTTCGCCATACTAATTTTGATAAGCGGTATGTTCCCCATTTTTTTTACTGTTTTTTCCAAATATCCTGGGCCTAGAAAGTTAGAGTTAGCCTGGAAGTTTCCAAAAACGCAGGCAGATCGTAGGTCCCGTAGGCGCAGCATATTTTTTGGTTGCACCGCTAAGTCCCAGTCGATCTTAGTTATTAACATTAGTAGAGACTATTAGTGGTAGAGTAGAAAAAATTCGGCATAGCGAAATTCGGTATAGCGAAAATTCGGTATAGTGAAAATTCGGCATAGCGAAATTCGGCATAGTGAAAATTCGGCATAGTGAAAATTCGGCATAGTGAAAATTCGGCATAGCGAAAATTCGGCATACCAATAATCGGCATACTGTAAATCGGCACAGCGAAAATCGGCATAGCAAGTGTTTACCGTTGAGACCATTTGAAAACCAAGAGTTACAGTACCTCCATTTTGGATAGGTCCTTCTTGAACCATTCTTGCTCAATCCCTCGATCCCGGCATTATGGGGCTCTTTCATAAAGGTCCATAGTCCTGTCAGGTCATCGTAGTACCGATAGTTGTTTGCCTGAAGTTTGTGGTTTCGGGCGTTTAATTTGGAGCTTTTGTAATTCGTGTTTTTATCCCTGTTTAATACTACAATGGTTTTTAAGGCCACAATTTAAGTAACAAACGCAATTTCAAAATTTAAATTTCCGGAAAAATAAAATTTAAAAGTCAAAATATAATAAGCATGGCCTTGCTAAAATTTATGAAAAGATACCTGTCTATACAATCCGCTGGCCAAGCCAGGCAGGCAGCAAAATAGTATAAATATCGATAGCATGCGCCCTGAAATTAAAGTTACAATCACACGACAAACCATGCAAGCGAAGAGAGAGATTGAGAGGGAGAGAGAGGGAGAGGGAGCGATGTAGAAAGAAACCAAAGATCGCGATTGTTACCAATCCATATTTCTGCTTTTCATTTTCTACAGTACCCCCGAAATCTGGGATCAAAAATCTCCGACCACCAGCATCAGGAAGTCCCGAATTGGAACGCCATTATGTCTGCTTATCAAATTTAAACCCCGGAATCGGTAGTGAAATGACCCGATCTCCTAATCTAATCAAGAGGATTGGGGTCTCTGGAACGAATGCCCTCCGGGTACATCTTGGGAATGTTTACGTTTCGCCTCCAAGAGGGACAGATGCGGGAAAGCTATGGGCGGCCACTCTGAAAAATGGGGGTTGCCTGGGTTATAAAAACTAGCGGATCGGTGACAGCTGGAACCCACTAAAAATTGGATTGGTCTTGGCCGTAAGGGTTGTTATTTTGGAGCATGGTGTAGTTTGTAAAGATTAGCGCAGAGAGGCAGGAAAAATTAGGATAATTTCCTAAAAGTAGAAAAAAGGAGCTTTGGTGAAATGCTATGTAAATATTTAGGCAAAATACCGGTGCTTTTAGCGTAGCTTGTTTTTTTTATGACACATGAATTCCTTAGAGTTTTTTAAACGCTCGGAATTTGAGTAAGTATTTCTACAAACTGTAGAAACAAAACATTTTTACAAATGTTTTAACACATAAGAGGACGATCGTTTTAAAACGAGCAAAACTTTGGCACATTAAATAGTTTAAATATCACAAATTTATAAAGCATTGTATTTAAACAAAACTCTATTCAGACGGTTCGGATTAAATTCTTTATTCTGTAAATTTGGGAGATGGTCAAACTTGATGCCTGATGCTTTTTAAACCATAAAACCAATCGAAAGAACCGGAATTTCCGGGTAAGGCGAGCCAAAGAACAAGGTCAAGTGCCATCTGTTGGCAACTCACGGCTGGCGGGAATGGTCACTCCAGAGTGACAACACGAGCGGACGGGGGCTTTGAAATTGGTTGAAAACTGGCATGTCTTACGAAAAACTTCCTTATTCCGATGTTAAAAGCTACCGAAACTATCCTAATCAATACGAAAGGACGTTCAAGCATTGGAAATAGGAAAGAACAGCTTGTTATTGTTGTTTCTGGCGACTCATTGACGCAGCGACACGACCGGGAAGTTCAAGTGGTCTGGAGAGGAGCTAACGATTTGTCGAACGCAATGAGGGATTGGTCTTCTACAAGAAAAAAAGTTTATATAAATATTTGCAAGATTTGCTACTTTTCCGTATCCATGGATCCAACTAATGGAAATCAGATATGCAAAAGGTATATATCCACCGAAAGAAATCTCTGAGATCATGATCTGCTAACTCAGGAAAATATGTTTTACCTCTCCTCTTGGCCAAAGCAAAAGACTCCGGTCAGACTCTGCTAAAACACCCATCGGATACCCCAAGAACTCCAAAAAACTTTCGCTAAGAATCTAGCTGACCCGCTTCCCTCGACTTTCCTCCCAGCCCGGACAACTTCAAATTTCCAGCTTTGCTGGTCTTATCCAGGGTTGGTCACGAAAAGAGCGGGAGCTGGGAGCGGGAGCTGATTTGCGAGCCCCGCTCAAGAGCGGGAGCGGGAGCTGAAAATTTTCAGCTCCCGCTCAGCTCCGGCTCTTGAGCCGGCTCGTTTGGAAAGAGCTAGAGCCGAACCCCGCTCAACTCAAACCGGATCCTGCAAATCAGATATCTATGCAAATAAGGCAATGCAAGGCCAAAAATACTCATTTTTTTTGGAATTTTGGGAGATTTGCATAAATAACTAATTTTCAGCATCCGGTGGAGTAGAGCAGGGTTCAGCTCCCGCTCTTTCCAAAAGAGCCGGCTCAAGAGCTGGAGCTGAGCGGGAGCTGAAAATTTTCAGCTCCCGCTCGGCTCCTGCACCCGCTCAGCTCCGGCTCAGAGCCGGCTCGCAGAATGACCAACCCTGGTCTTATCCCGCCTTTTCGGTGTTTCATCTTTGTCGTAATTACGTATTTGTGTTCCACAAAA